AGGAAAGAAATCAGTAATGGGAGACGTCTCTTCCATGACCACCAAAGAAACGGAGCAATCATCCGTTCTCTCACCACGGGCATTGACCACACGCTTGCAGTTGGTCGAAGGGGACATCAAAAGCTTAAAAAATGATGTGGGTGAGATCAAAGAGATCTTAGGAATGATACAYCAACAGTTGGAAACGTTGAGCGTAAACCAAASTCCAACAAGAATTCCTCAACAAATCACTACAAGAAATCAGCAAGAACCACGCGRGGATGATCAAAGAGGTATCCACGCACAAGAAAATTTAGCCGCTCCTCCAAGAARGGTTCAAGAAATARACCTRGGACCAAGAATCCACCAAGAACAGAGGCAATATCATCAAGAAGTCAATTTCAACCCTTTATTTCAGCGGCGACGAGAGGCCTTCATTGATTCCTCAAGTGATGAAGAAGAAAATCTACTGGAAATTGAACACAATAGGCGTGGTGTGCAGTTTCGTCCACATGGACAGCAGGACACAAGTGACTTCAAGATGAAGATAGACCTTCCTAGCTTCAGTGGTAAGATGGATATAGAAGGGTTCTTGGAGTGGGTTAAAAATGCGGAAAATTTTTTCGAATACATGAACACACCTGAGCATAAAAAGGTGCGTTTGGTGGCATTGAAACTTAAGGGTGGTGCCTCCGCATGGTGGGATCAACTTGAGGTAAGCCGCCAAAGATACGGAAAGTGTCCAATTCGTAGTTGGGAAAGAATGAAGAAGTTAATGAGGGAGCGGTTTCTACCAGTCAACTTCGAACAAATCTTATACAACCAATACCAAAACTGTCGCCAAGGTACTTGCTCGATTGCTGATTATACAGAAGAATTCCATCGGCTTGGCACTAGGACAAATCTTGGGGAAAATCAACACTACCTCGTGGCTCGATATATTGGTGGGTTACGATCGGATATCAAGGACCAAATTGCCTTACACCCTATTGGCTATCTTAATGAAGCTATTTCTACGGCCACAACTCTTGAGGAACAAATGAATAATCGGTACAAGAAGCAATACTCACGCCGAAACACTTGGGGACAGGGAGGCACTTCAAAGAAAGGTACTTTTCCTCTAGATAAGACTTATTTACCTACTAACACTCCTACTGCTAAAGGAAAACAGGTTGAAGGTTGATAAAGATCTTTCCCAAGACGCTTCAGTCCACGATAACGCAGTTGGCAAAAAACTTGCTACTGCCTACAATCGTCCAACATTAGGTAAATGCTTTCGTTGTGGACAAGTGGGTCATCTTTCCAATGAATGTCCTCAACGAAAAGCAATTGCCTTTGTGGATGAAGAAGACCAACCGGATTACAGTGATGGCGAAGATCAAGAAGAGGAAATTGAATATATTGCCCCCGATGAAGGAGAACCCCTAACCTGTGTTTTACAACGGATTTTATTGACCCCAAAAACCGAACCCGTGTATCAACGTCATGCTCTATTCAAAACAAGGTGTACCATTAATGGAAAAATTTGCAATATCATCATTGACAGTGGTAGCACTAAGAACATCGTGGCTAGCAAACTTGTGAATGCATTAAATCTCTCTTTGATTCCTCACCCTGCCCCTTACAAAGTCACTTGGATTAAAAAGGGGGGAGAGGCTCAAGTCACTCATACTTGTACCGTCCCTTTATCCATTGGGACGAGCTATAAGGATCAAATAGTTTGCGATGTCCTCGATATGGACGTTTGTCATATATTGTTGGGACGGCCGTGGCAATATGACATTCAAGCTATACATAAAGGAAGGGATAACACCTATGAATTTCTGTGGATGGGGAAAAAGGTTGTGTTACTTCCTCTTAATCCCCCTAAGTCTAGTTGTGCCAAAGACAGCAACACGAAAACAGGAAAGGGAGCCCTATTCACCCTATCATCAGCTAAACAACTTCTTATAACATAGAGAGCTACCTATTCTTGGCTTGGTTATCAAGAGTTTTGGGACCGAGGATACTCCTACTCATATACATCCACAAGTACAAGACCTATTACTTGATTTCAAAAGCATTGTGGATGCTCCCATGGGGCTACCCCCCCTCCGTGATATTCAACACAACATAGATTTCTTCCCTGGTGCAACTCTCCCTAACCTAGCTCATTATCGGATGAACCCATCCGAATACAAAATTCTCCATGACCAAGTTCAAGATTTATTAGACAAAGGCCACATTCAACCAAGCCTTAGCCCATGTGCTGTTCCCGCCCTATTAACACCAAAGAAGGATGGCACTTGGCGTATGTGTGTCGATAGCCGGGCTATAAATAAAATCACTGTCAAATACAGGTTTCCCATCCCACGAATAAGCGATTTGCTTGACCAACTCGGTGGTGCCATCTTGTTTTCTAAAGTAGACCTTAAAAGTGGCTACCATCAGATTCGCACCCGCCCAGGGGACGAATGGAAGTCCGCTTTTAAAACAAATGAGGGCTTGTTCGAATGGCTTGTCATGCCTTTTGGTCTGTCCAATGCCCCAAGCACTTTCGTGCGGCTCATGAACCAGGTTTTACTTCCTTTTATTAATAAGTTTGTGGTAGTATACTTTGATGATATACTTATCTATAGCAAATGCATGTCTGACCATATGGATCATCTGCATAGGGTTTTTTCTGTTTTAGCTTCTAATCAGTTAGTCATTAATCTTAAGAAGTGTCTTTTTCTAGCGACTGAAATCTCCTTCTTAGGATTTATCATAGGACATAATGCAGTAAAAATGGATCCTAATAAAATTACAGCTATTATAAACTGGACGGAACCTAAAACAGTCCGAGATATTCAAAGTTTTCTTGGTCTTGCATCCTTTTATCGAAAATTTATTAAGAATTTTAGTTCCCTTGTAGCCCCTCTGACTAGTTGTTTAATAAAGGGTCAGTTTTTATGGAGTCAAGCCCAATCTGACAGTTTTCAACTTATAAAAAACAAGTTAAGCCACAGCCCTGTCCTTGCTTTACCAAACTTTGAGCAACCCTTTGAAGTGGCAGTAGACGCTKCAGGCMTARGAATTGGTGCTGTTCTATCCCAACAAAACCACCCCATMGAATTTTTTAGCGAAAAATTAAGCCCTTCTAGGCAAAARTGGAGCACTTATGAACAAGAGTTATATGCATTAGTTAGAGCCTTGAAACAAYGGGAACACTACCTTYTGAGCAAAGAGTTTGTATTGTTTACTGATCATTTTTCTTTAAAGTTTCTACATACACAAAAGACAATAAGTAGAATGCACGCTCGATGGCTTTCATTCCTACAACGATTTGATTTCGTAATAAAGC